CCCCCTTCCCCTGAGACTACGGATTAGTGTGGACTAGTGTAAGATTGGTTATGACTCGGTATCCATAACTAATCTGCTGCTCTCCTGGAAATTCCCCCCCCCCTCTTCCACTTCCACTTCCACTTCCACACCCCCACTTTGTCCCGCCGAAAATAAATAACCCAAAGCCAGACTTAAGACATCGTCATCGTTGATCCAAGAAGGAGAGAGAGAAAAAAAAAAGAATACTAATAAATAACCTCTCATCCTCATCCAAGCTGGTTGACTCGCTTTAGTTTTTTTTTCCCTTTCCTCTCTGCTCTCGAATCCTTCATCATCTCTAATCTCTCCTCCGCCTCTTCCTCCCCCTCCTCTATCTCCCACTCTCCAAGTAAGTAACCAACCGTACAGTTCAGTACTCTGAACCTCTCTGAACTCCCCCTCTTCTCTTCCCTTCCGTTCGCACTCCCCCCGCTCTTCCCCTGGTCGATGGTGGTTCTTGTCGCACCAATAGTTGGATCCATGACGGCAATCTGTCGACATCGACCAGCCCTTTATCCAACCTACCAATGCGATCGACATACACCCCAAACACACAGACACACAGACACACACCCTAAACGGGCGTCGTGGCGAGATTCCATCATCATTAAGAAGACCACCCGTTGGACCACCCGTTGGACCACTTTGAACCACTTTTGACTTCCCGGTTTCAGTTGCTGTTGATACACACCTTTACATCTTAAGGTACCTAAACTAACCAACTGTCGCGGATCCACAGTAGTTAGCAGCTGCTTTCTGTCCTCCACCTTCTCGCATCTCCTCCCCTCCTCACAAACTTCGTCTCTTCAACCTCTCTCGCTCCCTCTCTTTCTCCATCCTCCCCCGAAATCACTACTATACCTTCACAATGGCCTCCAAAGCTTTGCCCACTCACCTCAGAGCTCCTGCCGGCGATGCCAGCTCCGGCTCGTTTGGCAAGCACCACGGAAAGTCCCAGTCTCACATGGTAAGTTCGACTTTGATTCTTCATTATCGTGCTCTTGCCTTGTGTCGTCCCAAACCTCCATCCGCCAGGTGGAAAGTGCAATGAAAAAGAGTGCGCCTGCCAGACCAAGTAGCCTGCTACTGGCGTGGTAGAGGATAACACCAGGTCTCCTGGTTCTTCTTTTCTCTCACAACTGTTATCCTCTCCACCACCATCATATCGCATATCCATACTCCCTTCAAGCAAATGCCAGTCCTTGACTGTACCGTTGCCTTCTGGGCTTTGCCTTTCATTCTCATTGCTTTTATCGCCTACAATATCACCTACCGAACCTTCGCCAGAGCACCTATCATCATTTCGGCCTCCCTGTCCCCACTCACCCTTTGCGGCTTGTGGGCGTTTGTTGACTGGGATCCCCTCATTGATTGCCTCACCTTGACCTGCTCCTCTTGCTGCTATCCACTCCTGTTCTATTTCGCTCTCATAGAGGCGCTGTACTTCGCGCGGCTACTTGTGATTTGTCAAACCATCACCAATAGCCGCTTCGGCCGCACTTTTGTGTTGTTTCTTTTGGCTGTGTTCTTCGACAGAACGCAGCAATTTTCCCCCTTGGACATCCTGAGCCTCTTTTGCCAGCTCATCGGCTCGGGTCAGATACGGGATCTCCTGAGCAGCCGTCTCCTCATTCGTCTGGCCTGGCAAGCCCTCTTCTGGACAAACTTCCACTTTCTAGGGTGGTTGCAAAGAGCTGCCCAGTCTGTTTACTACCTGCGAATGGGACGACGGAAAATTGCACTCTGGACTTCTGCGGCCATTGTTTCCATTGTTTCGATACTAATGAGAATGGATATCCAGGCCTTCGAAAATGCCTCCACCAGCGTGGCTGCCTCGCAGATGCGCAACGCCCTGAACGCCCTCGCCGAGACTGTTCCCGATGCCACGGAGCGCAAGCGCTTCGAGGCTGAGATGGACAACTTCTTCGCCCTCTTCCGCAGATTCCTCAACGACAAGGCCAAGGGTAACGAGGTCAACTGGGACCGCATCGCTCCCCCCCAGCCCTCCCAGGTTGTTGGCTACGATGAGTTGGGCGCCGAGGCCTCGGTCGAGTTCCTGAACAAGCTGGCTGTTGTCAAGCTCAACGGTGGTCTGGGTACCTCCATGGGATGCGTTGGCCCCAAGTCCGTCATTGAGGTCCGTGAGGGCATGTCCTTCCTGGATCTCTCGGTCCGTCAGATCGAGCACCTCAACCGCACCTTCAACGTCAACGTTCCCTTCGTCCTGATGAACTCCTTCAACACCGACCAGGACACTCAGTCCATCATCAAGAAGTACCAGGGCCACAACGTCGACATCATCACCTTCAACCAGTCCCGCTACCCCCGTATCATCAAGGACTCCCTCCTTCCCGCTCCCAAGTCCTTCGATGCTCCTCTCCAGGACTGGTACCCCCCCGGACACGGTGACGTCTTCGAGTCTCTCTATAACTCTGGTACCCTCGACAAGCTCCTTGAGCGCGGTGTCGAGTACATCTTCCTCTCCAACGCTGACAACTTGGGTGCCGTTGTGGATCTCCGCATCCTGCAGCACATGGTGGACACTCAGTCCGAGTACATCATGGAGTTGACCGACAAGACCAAGGCCGACGTCAAGGGTGGTACCATCATTGACTACGAGGGCAAGGTCCGCCTGCTCGAAATCGCCCAGGTGCCCAAGGAGCACGTGAACGAGTTCAAGTCGATCAAGAAGTTCAAGTACTTCAACACCAACAACATCTGGATGAACCTCCGCGCCATCAAGCGGGTTGTTGAGGAGAACGAGCTGGAGATGGAGATCATCGCCAACGAGAAGTCCATCGCCGCGGACAAGAAGGGCGAGGCCGACCAGGCCATCTACCAGCTGGAGACTGCCGTCGGTGCCGCCATCCGCCACTTCAAGAATGCTCACGGTGTCAACGTCCCTCGCCGTCGTTTCTTGCCTGTCAAGACCTGCTCGGACCTCCTGCTGGTCAAGTCCGACCTCTACCGCCTGGAGCACGGCCAGCTGGTTATGGACCCCAACCGCTTCGGTGGTGTTCCCGTCATCAAGCTCGGTTCCGACTTCAAGAAGGTCTCGGACTTCCAGAAGCACATCCCTAGCATTCCTCGCATTGTCGAGCTCGACCACCTCACCATCACCGGTGCTGTCAACTTGGGCCGCAACGTGACGCTAAAGGGTACCGTCATCATTGTTGCCACCGAGGGCAGCACCATTGACGTTCCCCCGGGCTCTGTGCTCGAAAACTGTGTCGTGCAGGGCAGCCTGCGTATCCTGGAGCACTAGATGGGTGGTTGACGTGTGGAGATTCAGTTCTCACCCCGATGGTCCGGGGACTCAGAGGTGGAACTCGCATGGACTGATAGATCTGTCTATACTAGCAGCGGGGCGGAAACGTGTTTTTCTCCTGTCTGCATCATACTTTTTCTGATTGAAAAGATGTTGTGATTCACATATTTCCAGGTAGCTTTCCACCACGGCCATGGCTTCGGGGCGGGAGTCAAACTTCTAGTTTAGTTATCCAGCGACCTGCTCTCTTCTGTTCCCTTCCCCATTCTGCCTGAGGTCTGCATATGTCCGTCTTGTTATTCAGTGTTGTTCTAATAGGAAAGCATTCGGACGCCACTCCTAGGGCGCCAGCCTGCTGGGTCCAAGGTGGCATTCCCAGGAGAAAGGTGCCGAATGTGGACCAGGTTTAGTTAGTTAGGAGATATCACCGTACGTAATATCCAATTCTTCTGTTGATTCCATCCATCTTTCTTCAGCCCATGCCGTTTTCCGTTTTCCTTTCCGTTTCCCGTTTCTCCGAAAATTAAGTTTGTACCTCCGATCCATCCTTGTTTTCTGGAGGATTCTTTCAAGTATGAGCATAACTTTGGCTGTTTTGGCTCTTTTGGCTGGTCTCGACTTGACATGTGATTGTCCGACTCATCCCATCCGGGACTGGCTTCCACCTCCCGTTGGTCTTGGACACTTTCTCCGGACACTTCAAGCTGCAATCAACTTGCTCGACGGACAGCAGAACCACAGCAGAACCACAGCAGAACCACAGCAGAACCACAGCAGGACCACAGCAGAACCACATGCCATGAATGGCCTCAGGTGTCATCACTGTCACCCCCGTCACCTCCGTCACCTCCATCTCGAAGCGGATACTCCTCCCCAGATGTGCCATGGTGATTGGCATGTTGCAGCCATGCATGATCGGCTATAATTCTCCCCCGCTCGACCTTTTATGCTCGGACAAGGTTTCCTGACGCCTCTAACGTAGGTGGTACCTTGAACTTGTACGTCATCACCAGGTCAACTGGAAGTAACTGGAAGTCTCCGCATGTCTCAGCAGAGAAAGAGATTTTCCGACAGGGTAGGCAGCTCTTTGGCCGCTCGCGTTCCTTCCTCGACTCCGCGTGCCCTGTACCGACCAGCTCTGCATTCTATGTACAGTTCCGCACCGCACCACACACCACACCACACTACACCACACTACACCACATCAACAACACCACCACCGCCACCAATAGTCTCTTTCGGGGCATGATGAGTGAATTCGGCAGCCAACACCGCCAGATTGCTCCCGGACCTTCCCCTAGCAAGTCAGAGAAACCTCCGTCGCGGGAGAGCTCGCCCGACAGAACTTTTCCCACCCCAGGCGATGGCTCAAAGAAACGAGTGTCAATGGCATGTCTGGCCTGCAAGAAGTCCAAACGCAAGGCGAGTCCCCCACCTGCGTGTGCTACTGCATCTATAAGTTGTGTCGGTTGAATAAATGTTATCACCCCCATCAGCGAAATGTAGCAGCTGCTCGCCACGCCTTTCCCCCCAACCGTCCCGGCAAGGAGCCGTTGTTGACATAGAACACGACCTTTGACAGTGCTCTGGAGTGCCGCCGTGTGATAACTGCCGGGCCTTCAACCGACAGTGTATTTTCGACGAGACCTTGGACCAGCGACGAAGAGTGGCCGCCAAGCGCACCGCCGATGAGCTGAGCTACCATCGGGACATGTTGAATGACCTGCTGAAGGTGATGCGCGCCGAGGATCAGTCCTACGGGTTGCAGCTGCTGGAGATCATCCGGAATGATGCCTCGGCCGAGGAGATCCGTGCGTTCATTGACGAGATCCTGGGCCAGGAGGGTGGAGACAGCAAGGTAGGGGAAGAGGCCGGGTGCAAGCTGGAGGAGGTCCGCCGCGTGATTGACGTGGAAGGGGCCGGGCCTTCTTTTCGCCCCAAGGTGATGGATATACATTATCTTTGTGACGAGGTGCCGTACCGCGTCCCCGCCAGACCATGGACAACAGTGACTGAGGATGCAGACCTCGTCTCACATTTGGTGTCCTTGTATTTCACCTGGGACTATCCATTTCATGCCTTCCTCGACCGCGATGTCTTCCTCGAGCATATGCGACGGGCCAATCCCCAGTCGGAGTTCTGCAGCCCATTCCTGGTGAACGCTCTGCTCACGAATGCATGTGTAAGTTTTCCCGTTTTCTCGTTCTCTGTTTCGCTCTTTCTTTCTGCCTCCAGTGGTCGACGCTTTAGACAAAAACTAAGATGGAATATCAATGCTGAACTATCGCGCCTCTCGGATAGCTTACGATCGCAGACTGACTGAAGGAACTATGCAGCACTTTTCGGACTACTCCGAGGCATACGTCGATCCGGGGGATGTTGTGACCAAGGGAGTCGATTTCCTGGCAGAAGCGGAACGTTTGAGGGAGGAAGAACCTGTGAAGTTGAGCCTGGCTTACTTGCAAGGCACACTCTTGCTATACGAGAGGTAAGTCGGTTGACCGGCCACTATCAAACTCAACGCGTAACCGATGCTCGAGGTATTCGATGTCGGGCAAGGATGACCTTGGGTATCGCATGCTCCACCAAGCCATCCAGACCGGTCATTCCCTAGGGTTAATCGGTCCGAGGAGCCCTAGTCTCATCCCAGGGCAATTGCCCGGCGATATGGAGATCTCGGTCAAGCGATCAGCCTGGGGCTTATTTCACATTGATACGTGAGTCGTTCCATCCCGGTTTGCCGCTGACATTCTGGGGTCTGAGCTGTCTTCTTAGGGTTGTGCATGCCGAGTTCTTACGTCCGAGCTTGATAGACAAAGTCAACTTCCAGCGACCGGACCAACATCATCAAGAGGATTCGAACCTGTGGGTGCCATACCCTTCTCACCGACCCGCCCGGGCTTCCTATCTGAGCCAGTATTTCGATCACTCGTGTGATCTCTGCGAAATCGCCAGAGACATCTCTCAAACCCTTTTCTCGCTCGATGGGGGCGTGGTGTCTATTGAGCACCAGAATAGGACCAAAGAACGGCTCTTCGAAAGGCTTCGTGGTTGGTACGCAACGTTGCCGGACGTGTTTGAGCCATGCCGTAGACCGCCCCCTTTTATCATATTGCTGAGGTGTGCTTGAAGAAAGGCCCGACACGCGCGCGGAATGACCTCTCGCTGACGACAGTCCCAGAATGCGCTACCATACCTTGGTCATCGGTTTATTCTCCCACAGCACCGGAGGGACTGAACGCAGTCCTGGATCCGAAGCCCCCCAAACGCCGGAGAGTCCACCAGGCTGCAGCCCGCCCCTGAAATACACTGCCCCCAGTATTGCGCAGTCTGCCGCACGTGCCATATCTGCGCTGACCCTCCTCCATCGACGCGAATACGGGGTCAGCCGCGCGCATCACTTTGCTTTGTACGCGATCAATCTGGCCCTGTTCACGTTGCTCGACCCCGAGTCCTTTGATATCCTTGACCAGGACTTTCTCTCCTTGGCCAGCTCCTTCTCTAGCATTGCTAGTCGCTCCCCGTTGGGTCGAAGTCTGTTCCACATGTTCCGTCAGACGGTACGCGCCCGGGGCCAAGGCCAGCACCTGCGGGGATCGAATCTCGTTTCGGATGAGCTTAAGGCGCTGTTCGACGAAGAGTCCACGTCGCCCTCCCGGTGGGATGAATACGCCAAGGGACTGGATAAGCTTGGGACGGATGAACGCTATGGTGGGCTTATAGAGGGGGAGCCCAGTCTTTTTGAGATGCTGGACCGGTATGAAAGCTTGAGCCTGGGCAAAGATGATATTGCTTCCGGGCGGATACGGAGGTGAATGAGATCTTTATTGTTGTTATTGCCGATGTTTGGGGACGATGCTGACATCCCCTCCCCCCACTTTGATTAATTAAACCAAAAATACCCCCTTTTATTGGTGTGTTCTTGACCACAGAGCTCTGTGCAGTCTGCGTTGAAAGACTTCAGTGAATGCAATGAGAATGGTTTGAAATAGAAGGAGAAGCTACTCCGTACACCCTAAGTGTATACTAAGCAATTCATATACTCAAGTAACTCTCCGTGAGGAGCTTCCTGCAGTAGCTTAATTCTAATTTAGTTTAGTTTAATTTGATTTAATTCAATATAATTTTTTGTTCCCTGTAGTGGCTGGCATAATCCCTGCTCTGGATAAACTTATCCCCATGTATTGCCACTCTTCCATGCATGTCGAGAATTGATAGACAATCGGATTCGAGGCCAGTAATACAAGTAATTCTCCGACAATCGAGCAACTACCTCAGCATGATTGCATGATTGAAAGGGATGTAGATCAGCATTTTAGGCGGCTTGAACCAGCTACGGTACGTACATGTAAATACAAACTATACATTTGGTAGAATTTCGAAGGTAAGTTTGGGGATGACATCATTTGCCATAAACTTTCCACCCACATTTTATCCATTCCATCCATTCCATCCATTCCATCGCCTTTCTCTCGCCTTCGCTTCACACTACACTTGCTCACTTCTCACATACTCACTTCTCATTTCCTCACGTACTCACTTCCTCACGTACTCACTTCCTCGCCCCCTCAACCCCTCCAGGCTCCCTCAATCAAGCTTGCGCCACTTGCTATTTTGCCCCCCCCCTTCTTCTATTACTCGTACTCAGTATCTTGCCTCCCCCCCCCCCAATTGCATCTTATCTCTCAAATGGGTTATACTCCTCCTACCCCCGACTTAACGCAGTATGGAGGACTCGTCGGGCTCATTCTTCCTCGGTTTTTCGTCCGCCAATGATTCCGAGTCGCGCACTGACAACACCACTGCCACCACCAGCACCGATCCCACCACTTACACCAACACCCCTAGCGGCAGCGGCACCAGCGGTGTCGGCGGTGCCGGAGGAGGAGCAGGGGGATTCATCAGCAGTCGAAGTGGGAGCTCCGACTGGTCTTGGGAAATCAGAAGCAATTCCGCCTTGCCACCGGGCTTGCAACCTCAACCTGCACCTACCCATGCCGCCAACTTCCCAGTCCCCTCGCACTCTCTACCTCTCCCTCCTCCCCTCCCGACTACGACAACTATCATCAGCACTGCCTCTCGACATCCCAACAAGCGCGAACGCTCGGAGCACCAGCACCAGCACCAGCAGGAGCAATCCCGCTCCCGCAACCGTCCCATAGCTCGTCATCAATCCTCCTCCTCCTCGTCCCACGATATCGCCATCGCCGGCCCGTCCAGACTGGCCGGCAAGGTGGCTATCCCCCGCACCACGAGCTTCAACAACCAGACCCAGCGCCGTCGGTCCACGCGGGCATGTGAACCCTGTCGCCTGCGGAAGATAAAGTGTGAGGGGGACAAGCCCATCTGTCGCCAGTGTGCCGATCACAATGTGACCTGTACCTATGTTGAAGTGAAGCGGGTGCGGGACCAGAAGAAATTGGGATCGTTGACCAGTAAGGTGGGGATCTATGAGCAGCTGTTGAACGAGGTGGAACGCACCGCGGACGAAGATACCGCGAGGAGGATTCGGAGGGCGCTGAGGGTAAGTCTCTTCGCTGGTTTTCTGAGTCTCGGGTTGAGTGTCACTTCTTTGCCAGCTGGATGAAGCATGCTAAAAGTGTAATAGCTGCGGGTCTCCGACGGGACCACGCCAGAAGAACCACCGCCGAATGAGAACGAGGGGTCTGAGTCGGATTCCTCGTCCATTGGCTCGCTCAATGAGTTGGATACGGTGGAGGAGGATCTGAATCGCAGTGACCGGGCCGTCGCGACAGGGTTCTTTGGGAAGAATTCGGAAGTGTCCTGGTTGCAGAAGCTGGAGGACGAGGCCGAGCTGCGCCACCTTCAGATGGAGGAACTTAATGAGGCGGACAGCAACAACAATGCGTCAGACGGGCAGCAGCAGATGCAGCAGCTCCTGCTGGTCCCGCAGCCAGCGCAGAAGCAGGAAACGCCCGTTGCCGCGATGAACTACTACCTGGATGACCTCGACATCCCCGTCATGGCGGATGTCGACCCGTACGCGCTCCCGCCCAAGGACGTCGCCAACCGACTCTTCCGGTTCTACATAGAGAGCGTGCATCCGTCCTTCAACGTGATCAGCAAAGTGTTCTTTGTCTCCCAGTATTCGCAATTCGTCATTCAGGGGAATCGGCAGATTGAGCCGGGCGATCGGTGGCGAGCCGTCCTGAACATGATCTTCGCCATCGGGAGCCGCTTCTGCCAGTCGGTGTATGGGAAGAAGGGGGGTGACTACGATGATGTGGTGTATCTGAACCGGGCACGGAAGCTGACCCTGGGCGAGAACGTCATCTTCGAGCACGCCAATCTCCAGCAGATCCAGGCGGAGTTCTTGGTGGCGTTCTACTTCCTTTCCATGTGTCAGGTCAATCGGTATGTTCCAGTCCTGCGTTCCGGAGGCGAACCCCTAGTACTGACGAAGTCATTTCAGCTCCTTCAAGTTTTCGAGCATGGCCTTTCGGTCAGCCGTTTCACTGGGCATAAACCTCCGCCTGGAGAATAGTGGCACGTCGCGAGCTGCCAAAGAAGCTCGCTGTCGTCTGTGGTGGTCGATTTATCTCCTCGAGCATCTGTTGACGGCCATCACCGGCCGAGTCTCCTGCGTTGGGGAAGGCCTCAGTGCGACACCATTGCCTATCCCATTCGAGGAGGAGGCCTGGAACAGCCCCGAAGTTCGGCCCATCTTAGAAGACCCGGCTCTTCAGATGAGCCGTCTCAAGCTCACCATCCTTCAAAACGAACTCGAAGCAACCACCACGGCCTCGTGGCTCGCAACCTGTGCACCCAGTCCGTCCCTCTTCTTCCATCTCCTCGTGGATCTCTGCAGTATCACGCAGGCTATCATCAACAAAGTCTATAGCATCCAAGGCTTGCGCGACCGCGCCAGCCAGGTTGAACAGCGCATTCGGAAATACGATCACACCCTGAATGTCTGGCTCATGAAAGTCCCGGCGCCGTACCGGTTCACCGTGAGCGACCAGGACGATACGTTTTATATCCCCCCGGACCTGCAGAGATCCCACCAGCGCGAACGGGTATCTCTCGCCATCAGCTATTACAGCGCTCGCATCACACTCTCGCGGCCGTGTCTCACCCGCTCCGGCCTCAAGTCCGGGTCGATGTCCCCCAACCCGACGCTTGCCTCCTCCTCGGCCCAGAACGCCTCTCACAATTCCTCTGCACGGAGCCAGTTCCGCAACGAGATGGCCCGCAACTGCGTCCGCTCCGCCTGCTCGCTCCTGTCCGTCTTGCCGGAAACCCCCAACCTTCCCTGGCTGGTCTCGGTCACCCCCTGGTGGTGTATCCTGCACTACATCATGCAGGCCACGACCGCGCTGCTCCTCCACCTGTCGTGCTGCCCGCCCGTGCTGCCGTCGACCGGCGGCGAGGAGTACGTCGACACCACCTCCAGCGCCATCTCGAACCACCAACCGCCCACGGCGCTCGCCGATATCCACACCATGACCCGCGAGATGAAGAAGGCCCTCCGCTGGCTCCACCACCTGTCGTTCACCCACACCGCCGCGCGGCGCGCGTTCCGGCAATGCTACAGCGTCGTGCAGCGGATCGCCCCGAGCATTGGGATTGACATTCGTGATATCCCGGACGGAAGGGACCTCCCGGTGGATGAGGACCCTTTCTCCCAGAAGGATGAGGAAGAAACTTTGGCCCGGAAGGACGATGAGGACCCTTTCTCCCAGAAGGATGAGGAAGAAATTTTGGCCCGGAAGGACGATGAGGACACTTTCCCCAAGAAGGACGTGGAGGACTACGAACCAACCGCCATGCAAATCGACGAGGAACCCCCGGCCCTTGAGATCGACGGTCAAATCGATGGTCAGATGGAATAGTTGCTGTGTATACGACACCACAGGGAAATTCTTGTTCCAGATATTATGTAGATATATATAGTCGATCAACTTTCCGCCGGAGTTTATTTTCAAAGCCAAGCGAGCGAAATAGTGTCTGTCATTCAAGAGCGAGGCGTATCAATTTCTCAGTCTTGCGTTCTGGTCGTCTGTTTCCGTTTGGTTTTTTTTTTGTGTGTGCGTTTCGGATAAGCCTGCTTGACCTTGTTTCTCGATGTTCTTGAAATCAACGGCCCAGTCCCTCAAATCTGTCCCTCTAGCTTGGTCTTGTTGCACTGTCTGTCCTATATGGATGGGCCAATCTTGACCAAGCCGGTCCCTTTACTTGTCTGGCTGGGTTGTTTTACTAGTAATTCGCAGTAGGTAGGTAGGTAGGTAGGTATATATACGACTTTGCAATCTCGGTGGCGTGCACCGTACCTAGTGCTGCTTCCTACCTACCTACCTATCCACTCAAGTATACGATGGCGAAAAGAAGTTCCCCGTAGTCGGTGAACCAACCCCTTAACTCAATCCTGTTTACCTTGAACCTCTAATATAATTGCCCTTCCTTCCGTGGTAACATACAGAAGAAGTATACAATCCAACCATTTCCCCCCCTTCTCTGAAGCATAGCCTTCCCGCATGTAAAAACCTCACACACATACTCACACACAAGCCACCACCACCCACCCAACCCAGCCCCAAAAAAAAAACAACAACAGGAGAAACCCCTCCCCCCCCCTCCCCCGCCCTACCAAGAAAATCCGTGTCCCAGTCCCCAAAAAAGAAACCAGGCCCGAGCCGCGGATCGAACGCGGGACCTCTCGCAGATATGCTCGGGGTTTAGGAAATCCCTAAGCGAGAATCATACCACTAGACCACCCGGGCTTGTTGTTGCAACTTCCTGCAGAAGTTAGCTACATCAAGCTGATGTAAGGTGGTAGGGATGGCAAGTTCGCAGACCGTTGCGGGAGGGTGTCAGTCATCGTTCCCTACTCCACTCCGTCCCATACGGACAGTACACACCAACATGTGCTATGTACAGTACCGACTTAGTAGGGTCCTTCCCGAAGTGGCAGCAGCCCTAGACAGGTGCCTACCTTACTAACCGCCCGCGTGGAGCCTAAGGTAACTAAGTGGTCTAGGTACTCCGTACTGTACTAGCCTACTAGGCACCCCGCCTAAGTTAAGTAGCTTGGTACTCCGTACAGTACTTTGGATGATGCCGAGGGTTGCATACTCCCCCCCCCCTTTCTTTTGCAAGGATCATTATGTTGATCTTCTGCTGTAATAGACGCCTAGGCAATCATCTGGTTCTCTTGACTGATCCCGGAAATGGTGAGTCGGTGAGTCGGGCGCCTATCCGTATGATCTCAGTGATCCGAAGGGACCCCGAGACAAACAACGTATTCATCAACCGAGCTTGGGCTGGCAGGATAAAATTCGGAATCTGATGATATCACTGCAAACCTGGCCTCGACGAAATCGTATATACTTCATTGGTTATGTCTGCTATGCTATGCTATGCTAATAGACACCGAAGCAGGCTAAAGGCGCGACTCAACAGCGCACAAGACAGTAAAACCGAACGCGGACCCCGGTAGGTTTCATATGTAAGACGGGGTCGATATGTTAATTGCTATGTCATCAGGGATAGAAACAAGGGGGACAAGCCACTATAATACTAGGCATAAACACAAGTGAATACAACGCTGAGGATACATCCCAAAAAATCCAGTGGGGGGTTGGTGATTAAATAATAACAGGTAAAACCGGGCGGACGTTAGCGGCGTGCATTATAACATCGATGAAGACGCCGTTACATTTGCTGAGGCATGATAAAAGCACGTTTTCGGGGATCGTCGTCCACAGGCGCGCTACGCTTCTGAGACGGATTGAGGGTCATTGAATCGGTGGTTTGAGGCTGGACATGAGGGTGAAGCTGAGGATGAAGGTTGAAGTGCGGGTGCTGGTGAGCATGGGCATGTGCATGGGGATGTGTTTGTGCCTGGGCTTGCATCTGATGGGCTTGCAACTGATGCGCCTGGGGAAGATGGGGTTGCAGATGTGCCTGTGGTTGCAACTGCATTGGACGAGAGGCTTGTTGATGCACTTGATGCACCTGTTGCTGCTGCGTTTGCAGCTGTTGGGCGTGGGCTTGCGTATGAGCAGGAGCATGAGGCTGGTGTTGAGCTTGCATCTGGTGGCTTTGCATATGCGGAGACTGCAACTGATGGGCCTGCATATGCGGGGACTGAATCTGATGGGCCTGGAGATGAGGTTGGGGCTTGACCTGCATCTGGTGTATTTGGAATTGAGGCTGCACTGCAGTTTGAGCCTGTTGATGATGTGCAGGAGGTTGTTGAAGCTGGAACTGATGCAAGTGCTGATGCTGAGGCTGGGGCTTTGCATGAGCCTGAGCTTGCGGCTTGGTTTGACCCTGTGGCTGAGCTTGTGGCTGCTGGCGAGCTTGTTGCTGTACTTGTGCCTGAGCCTGCTGTTGAGCATGCTGTTGTTGATGAGGATGTTGAGCCTGGTGTTGGACATGCTGAGCTTGCTGAGCTTGCTGCTGCTGCTGGTGGAGATGAGCTTGCTGCTGAATCTGTTGCTGGTGAAGGTGAGGATGCTGTTGAGCCTGCTGTTGCAGTGCCTGGTGAGATTGGGGCCGAGTCTGTTGCGGTTGTTGATGTTGCTGCTGCTGCGCTTGCACCTGTTGCTGTTGTTGCTGAGGCTGTTGAGGCTGGACTTGCATCAACGGTGTTTGCTGTTGCGGCCGCTGCGGTTGCTGATGTGACTGCTCCTGCTTGATCTGCGCTGATTCTCCTGCAGTCTGATCAGGTTTGACCCCCTCAGCTAGGGCTTTGGCTTGCGCTTCCGCCTCCTCTGCTGCCTTTCGTGCCAACACATCCGCCTTTCGGGGCCGCCCGCGAGGACGCCCCGTACCCGGTTTAGACGAGGGCTTCTTAGGTGGCCGAGGTTTCGGGGGCTGATCGCCGCTCACCTCCGTCTTGCGTGGCCGTCCACGACCGCGCTTTTGTGGAATGATGGTTCCATCAGGCAAGACAATCGGAGGCAGAGGAGGGAGCTTTGGTCGCTTCTTCTTGGGAGGGGGTGGCGGCAAGGGATTTCCATCGGGACCAAGGGCTGGTGGTGGGGGAGGGAGGGGAACCGTGATGGGTGTACCATCAGGGCCAATGATCGTGGTGGTCTCCTGCGGCTTCTTGGGCTTCTTGGGCTTGCGAGGTTTTGGCACCTCCCCAGGAGCGAGCGGCTTGCGAGGACGACCCCTCTTTTTAGGAGTCTGACCATCAACTTGGGAACCCGAAGGAGCTGCCGCGACAGACCCGGGAATGGCATTATGGACAGCACCAGGAAGAGACCCCGAAGTAGTCCCAGGGACAGCGCTATGGGCAGCGGCACCTTGAGCGGAGCCGGCAGCAGTGGCAGCAGCCGAAGCAGGTGCCACGTTAACGGGGACCGTGGCAGGGGGTTTGGCAGGGCTGCTAGCACCAGGCTGTTGTTGGCTCGAAGGCCCTAGTTGAGCTTGAAAAACGGGATGAAACTGCCCGTTAATGTGCACCCCAGCGGGGACTGGCGATGCAACGGGCTTGGCCTGTTTCTTCCGTGGCTTACTAGGTGCTGTCTTTTTCTCCGCAGTGGAGGTGGATGACTGTGGCGGACGCTGCTGCTGGGATTGAGTCTGAGCTTGAGTCTGAGGCTTGGTCTGCGGATGGGCCTGATGCTGGGCCTGGGGTGGGTTCTGCGGCTGGGTCGGAGTTTGAGCCTGCGGTTGACGAGCCGGGGGTTGTATTTGGTGGTGCTGAATGAACTGATGTTGCTGCTGCGGTTGCTGATGCATGATATTGTGCTGTTGCTGATGTTGTGGCTGCTGCGGTTGCTGCGACTGCTGCGGCTGTTGATAATGATGTTGATAATGATGGAACTGGAGCTGTTGCGGTTGGGATTGGAAAGGTGATCGCTGAGCATGCTGCTGCTGGAAACGGGCCTGCTGCTGTTGCTGATAAGTCTCTTGCGTTTGTTGCTGTTGCTGAGCCTGCTGCTGCCGTTGGGCGGCTTCTTGTTGGGCCTTGAGTTGAGCTTCCTGCTGAGCTTTCCGCTGCTGGGCTTCTTGCTGGGCCTTCAATTGCGCCTCTTGTGCCTTGAGTTGTTCCTGCTGCGCCTTGCGCTGGGCTTCTTGCTGGGCCCTGAGCTGAGCTTCTTTTCGCTGCTGGGCTTCTTGCTGGGCCTTGAGCGCGGCTTCTTGCTGTGCTTTCAACTGCGCTTCTTCCTGAGCCTTACGCTGGGCTTCCTGCTGCGCTTTCAGAGCCTCCTGCCTCCGCTGCTCTTGCAATTTCAGTTGAGCTTCTTCCTGTGCCTTGCGTTGAGCCTCCAATTGAGCCTGTCGCTGAGCTTCGGCCTGGGCCTGTCGCTGCGCCTCCTGCTGCGCTTTCAGATGAGCTTCCTGCTGGGCCTGCTGTTGCTGCTGAAATGTCTGCTGCGCATGCTGCTGATACGGCGACTGCTGGGCCTGGGTCTGATAAGGAGAGGCCTGGTGCGGAGACTGCTGATATTGCGCATGGAACTGAGGCAGCTGCTGAGCCTGAGACTGGTACGGAGATGCCTGCTGAGTCTGTTGAAAAGGCGATTGGTGGAATTGATGCGTGGCTTGGCCGGCCCCGAGCATCGGCGACGCGGCCGCGGGAGTGGGCGTTTGCGCATTAGGAAGCGAATGGGCGCTCTGGCGCTGCTGCTGCAGATGTTGCTGCTGGAGCCGCTCGAGCGACTGCTGAGGGGACGCGATACCCATGGTGTGCGCATGGGGCGACATGGCCGCCTGCGCATTCATAGCATGGGAGCGATAATTGGCCATGGGGTTCATGTTCCGCTGAAGACTCTGCAAGGACAGGTAGGGATCCTTCAATTGGCCGATCGAGTCGGCATTCCGGGACAGCAGATCGGACGAGCCCTGCGGGGTGAAATGCCCCGGGAAGGAGTTGAAATGTCCCGCCGTATTGAGGCCGACAAGCGGACTAGATGAGGCCGGGGTCATTTTGCGGGGATCCGGGGAATGAGCGGCCATTTCGGTCTGCGTATGGGCGCGAAGCAGAGAGCTATTGCTGGTTAATCCGGCGCCATGATGAGGGTGGGTTGCGGTGGCCGCATTCATGGACGGGGACTGCAGCTGGTGGTGGTGAGGATGTTGATGTTGTTGTTGTTGTTGCTGCTGTTGTTGATGTTGAGGATGATGATGCTGGGGATGCGCATTCTGCTGGGGCGCCCGTTGCTGATGGAACGGAAGACCATTGTAGCCCATCATCTTCGGGGGAATGTATCAGACACTAATCCCACCCGAAGACAATTGCGTGGCTATTTTCCAGGAAGATAGGATGAGCGTGGTGGTGCTGATATGCTGATATCAAATCAGCCAGAGTGATAATACTCGGGGGGAGGCGACGAACATGTGACCACCGCGTCGGCAGGAAGCGACACGGTTACGGGGGCGGTCGGGCGGGCGGTCTGTGATGGTGGTGGTGGTGGTGGTGGCGGTGGTGTTTGCTGACCAAGGCGGAGTGGTGAGTACGAGTACGTACTGTACGTGCCGCGATGGAGAGTAACTTGACTTGGACGGGACGGACTGACCTCACCCTCACACACACACCGGGGGCAAGGAGGGGAGGGGGGAGGAGGGGGGGGGCCCTGGAGGGGTGGCGAGAAAGCCAATTCCAGACCAAAACTCCACCAGCTCTTCTTCAACAATGGAGATGGTGGAAGGTCGGAAGCCCGATGACAGCAAGAAAGAGAGAGACAGAGAGAGATGGACGAACCTGAGCAGTAACCGCAATACAGGATCGGAACAGTTGATGACAGACACGCGCACGGGGGCGCGTCTGCAACTCTCTTCTTTTTTTTTTTTTTTTTTCTCTCTCGGGCTGGGGAAAATAGAAAATGAGAAAAGCGGCCGCTGTGACGATAACAATTAAATGCGGAATAAGCAACGATCCCGGCTCGATTCCCAATCCGGAAGCGACAGACGGACGAACGGCCTCAGGCTGCCACAGGCTGTCAGGCTACTAGTAAAAACGCGGTACGGAGTACTGTACGGTCAGTACCAGGCAAGCAAGCACATCAATCAAGCAGGCATGTAGGCAAGCAGACAGGCAAGCAGGCAGCCAAGGCAAGCAGCTTGCTGGTAAGGCTAACAGTAATGACAACAGCCGTTTCTCTCACCCGGGAAACTACGGTCGATCCACAAAGACCAACCGCGCACTTGGTTGGGAAGGGAGAGAGAAAAAAAGAAAGGGTAAAAAAAAAAAAGAAAGGGAGAGCTGAAAAAAAAAGGGGGGGGGGGGGGGGAAGGGAAGAGAAAGCTGGAGGGAAAAACAGAGGAATGCCCAACAAGCTGAATGAAAGGTGTGAACAGTCGGTCGCTCTCCCACAAGGCAATGACAATAATCAGAACAGAGATTCCCTCTAGTCTGCACTCACCACAAAAGATAATGGTGATCCCAAAACCACTCTTCAAGCAGTCAATCAATCGAAATAGAGATACTTGGGGGGATCTTGGAATGGATCGTGAAGTCTGGAGATGGTCGCGCGCGATGATTTGTTTGGGGTTGTGGATGGAACTCCGTCCCTTTTTTTTATTTTATTAAATTTTTTAATTTTTAATTTTTCTGATTTTCCCTCTTTTATATTATTTTTTTTCTCTGCTCTCTGGGGAAATTTGGGATTTTCAGTTTTTTGCTTAGAGGGGGCGGTTTTATTTGGGGGGAGTGGAGCGGCACGTGACTCGCTGCCAGGCTGGCCAGTCACAGGCCGGGCTTCGTGTCGGGCTGGGACTGGTCGGGCACAAATCGAGATGACGACAAGGATCGATCGCCCGCGGCGGTGTAGTACACAGAAGATGATGGCATCTTTAGTTGTATACATGGTAACTTACTATGCAGTCCAGGCACAACCCCTCGATATCAACATTAGGAGGGAGTACTACGTAGGTACTATGTATCCCTCGAAGCCCACAACCTATAAGTTACCTGCCTGTGACGTCTGACAGCAATACAATAACAATGAAGTCCTAGCGTCTTCTGGGTCCCGAACTCCCGAGCATTACTACCAAACACTATAATCCGGTTCCCGCAGGGTGAATAAAATAAATATTCCCTTCCCTGAATTCAAAAATAACCAAAACCGTCATCCACCACCACCAAAAAAAAATCCCCCTAGAAAAAAAAAATGATAAATCTGTCACCCCTAAAATAATTGAACAATTAAAAAATTATCAGAACAGGAACCACATAGCCCGCCTGGCCATCAACCAAAGTTTGATCTAATCATTTAAGCTTAATTCGCCCACCTGTTCCTGAGCGCTGTTCGGCGTGCGTGCAGCATGGATGCTAACTGATACCATACTAACCCATGGATGCCAGATCTCTTTCAGTATCGAGACCTGTTTGCGCAAATTATATCTTACCAAACCCACGTGCAAAAAGAAAAAAAAGAAGAATGAAGTTCCCTGAGATATCAGAAACAAACCCAACCAACCTCAAGCACTCTTCGAACCATCATCGACCCCGCGCTGGTCCTCCCCCTCCCTGGCCTTCAAGTCAGCCAAACAAGGCGCAAAGAACAACCGGCCCGACAGCACCCCTTGCAACGTGCCCACGCCCACCACTCCCCACAGCACCACCACACAGAGGGAGAGAATCTATCCCCACCCAAGATATCAGCATCCCTTCACACCCAGACCGACCTATTCTTACACGCAAGGAGAATGAGGGGAGGAAAAAAAACCATACCGTGCCCAACATCCTAAAAAACTCCGACGGCAACTCCTTCCCCAGCTGACAAGTACTCGTCGCAAACACCCCGAGTGGGAAGGTGAACCCCCACCACCCGATATTGAAGGGGAAGCTCCGGCACCGCGCAATCGAGGCAATCGCCAGGAAGAGCCACACCAGGCCGAACGACCAGAGGATCAGGCCGACCATGAAGCCCACCGTGTAGAACACCGGCCCAGACCCAAGTCCGGAGTCCAGCGTCAGCATCTGGGTCTGTGGGAAAATCGTCTGCGCCGCGCTGCCGAGTTTCATAATGCTACACCATGGGTGAAGGCGTTTCAGTTAGCCCATTCATTTCTTGACCACCACCCAGGGGTTGAAAAGGGTTGTAAGCAATATAGGGGCGTGGAATTTTTTAGCAGGCACTCACCCGAATCCGCCCTGTCCGAGAGGGCCCAGGGGTAGGAAGACGCTCACGATCACTGCCTTGGGGGGCAATTTGTGCAGCGTGAGTCGTTGGAGGTAGATCACCATGACCATGAGGGCGAGCGGCAGGCCGATGCCCCACAGGATGTAGCTCACGATGACCGTCCACAGGGCGTGCTGCGGGTTGGGGAGCACGTCCGCGACGATGGCCCCCGACGACGCGGCAACGATACAGCTGACGATGGGCAGAAGCCACACCGCGGTCATCGATGAAAGCTGGGTCTCACTCCCGTGAGCCATCCTGATCGCAGGCGAAATGAGCCTGACTGCTAGAGAATCAAAGGTTGTGAAAGGCCGCTTACAGCAGAAAAGGTAATGACAATGCCGTGATCACGGAGAAGACAGCATCAAAGATCCACAGTCCCCAAGCAAAGTTCCGGCTCCACTCACCCCAGGCCGGGACACAGACAAAGCAGAACATGTTGATGATGGTGGCGAATCCCATCGGAAAGGTGCCGATGAACATCGACTGCACAGGGTGTCTGATCATCGCGAAGAAGATCTCAGGGTACAGCGTGTAGCGGAGAAGTGTGATGATACATCCGGTCGCAAAGAGCAGGACATTCAGAGCGAAGATCGCGACGGAGATCCAGTAGAGCCATTGGCCGTTGTAGGGCAGAGTGTTCAAGAGGATGGACACTATTCCGGTGCCCATGGTGACGGAGAACCAGCTGGATCCAGGTCAGCTGTTGCGTCTCACAGAAGCCATTCTGACCCGGCAATCATACGAGGGAGTGAAATGACGGACAACCCTCCTCCAACCCACATCATGTTTGGAGGGTTCGGTGGGTGTAGAATTGCTTTGGCAGGCCATACTGGCAGTTGAAGGGCGAAAGTCGGCAATTGGCGGAACGCCACCCACGACTTGATATACACCAAGCTGAGTGGGTTGTTCCAGAATAATGATATGGATATGTCGATATGTCGATATGTCGATACGTGTCGCAATCAGAAATAGAATTTACCAAGAATATAAGGTATTTTGGAGAACTTCAAGAAGGTGAGTCACGTTCTCTGAGTCTCGCCTGACAAACTTCCGTTGTACTCGACAGTATGTAATAATTCGGCCGAATAAAAGCAGGATGGGACGGCTACAGTCGGCGACTCGGCGACTACCGTAGAACGGCGACTGCGGCAACTACTCCGTATGTATGTATTGTATGAACCCGGTTCCTCCTAAACAACCACAACAACACCACAAATCCATCAGTTCCAACTGGAGCTGTACGAACTGCCACTATCGTATGAGCTGCTCCAATATGAATCGCTCGAGCCACCGCCGCCAGACGAACTGCTTGAGTCACCGCCGTATGAGCTGCTTCCTCCGGCCGAACTGCTGCTATACGAGCTAGAGCTACCCCCTCCATAGGGACTACTCGAATTGCTACCGTGGTAGCTACTGCCACTACTATGAGAGCGGCTGCTGAAATACGGGTTCCAACCCCCAGTATAGCCACTGGACCAACCGTCGTGATTGCGACTGCCGTACCCAGAGGAAATTGTACTGGAATACCCGTGCCCTGAACCAGTATGGGCCTCTCCATCTCTAGTAGATTTTGCTGCGCCAGAATCAGTCTTCCGGGTGTGGTCAACATGACTGGGATGTTGATACTTCGAGTGACCTTTCCACGTCGCGAAAGTGGAGTCGTACTGATAGGAGGCTCGGGGGCCACCGTCATTGACCCCAGACTGATTTTGCTTGGACGAGTCTTCGCGACATTCGGTATCCTCTTTGTCTGCTGTACCTGCGTCTCGGGTAGTGGATTGAACATCTCGTTCATCGCCGGCTCCGTAATCGGTTCTGTTTGGATGCACGGTGTCCCGATACGTTGTGTCTCGGTGTTCCTGCACTGGAGCTCCCTTATTGGCTTTGGTTTGCTGGGAGTCATCAATCGAAGGGACACCATGCGACGAATACAATGGTTCCGGGCCGGCCATCGATCCAGAGCTGGGTTGAGATTGAAAGTCGCCATCTGCATTGCCAGGGGAAGAGTGAGCAGAGTGAGCAGAGTGATAATCTGCATCAGTAGATGCCACCTCGTCACAGCTCTCATCGACAGAATCGTTGGTATGCAGTCGATCGAGGTCATATAGAAGCCCTTCAAATCCCAGAAAATCCAGATTTGTCGGTCCCTCTTTTGCGTTTTCCGTTCTAGGTAAGGAGAATCTCCCGCCACGACCGCTGCCACCAACATCAGGCCTCCTGGCACGCTCGTTGCGCAAAGCTTCGTATTCCTGAATCTGCTCAGGCCGTGGTCGTGAAGCCCACTTAGCGAGAAAGTAATGACTGTAGGTCCCCGCTTCGTAATAGTGGCTATAGGGCTGGGCGCGGTGAATCCCTCCCAGTTTCACCCTTGTCAGTGACGGGTGTGCCTGCCGAGGACCCTTGTCCGCAGAATGGAGCCATTGGGTCGCTTGCACAAATTTTTCACTTCGAGCCATGGCCGTCGCTCCTCGGTTCAGGAGAGACAAGGCTGTGAGAACGGTAAGTCGATCACGCATCCAGGAAACATCTTCCATTCCTCGATTGCTTGGCTTCGCTGTGACGTACATTTGTGGACCCCGCTGGAGATGTAATGCGACTAGAGACCAAGCGTCAAATGGAAATGCCCAGATATGCTTAGCGAGATTACAAGAGCCGCAGAATTTGGGGTGCTGCTGATATGCTTCAGTGCAATCCCAGGGAAAAAGATCCTGGTACTTGTATAATGTACCACCAAACGCGCCCCAGTCGTACCAGTACTCCTGGAGAGTGTCTAGAACATCAGCCTCATCATGTCGACCGAAATGGAAGCGAAGAAGGTACTCCTCGGTCAGTCCGCTGGGAACATCGTATTTCGTGCGGACTTGGCTTCGTAGATAGCCGTCCTGTGGACATACAAAGCTCATGAGATATAACGGAGATGCGGCCCCCGAAGCTTGACCCGCCGAAGTCCTCTCAATCAAAGGTTCAAATAAATCCGTGTCAATGAGTGAGTCGCAAAATGATTGACAATTATTACCGATAGCACTCCAGGTGAGTGTTGTACTAGGATCGAGTAACTTCTTTGCAATCCCCTGCAAATAGATACTGACCCTAGGCTCAAGAAGGTTTTTGAGTTTGGTCATTATTTGATCCAGCGCAGCGTCTAGACTCTTGCGCTGTTCCTTGACGGGAAGTCCTGGATGGTCGAAATAACCGCGACTAGCCGCCACAATAAGCCATATAATCTCAGATTCCTGCTCAGCATAGGAAGAACCAGAAAGGGCGCCGGTGAAGGGTACCCCGACAACCTGCTTCATGATAGCTTTGTATCGTTTGGGAGTTCCAACGAGGCGCTGCTGCTGCCAAAGGCGTCTCTTGGCGTCGCCGCCAATTGCTAAACTAGGATGACGAGAGCGTGGACTGCAGGAATCAGGTCTATCGTGGAAGGTAGGTAGTTCTCGTATAGTAACTAAGGCGCCTTGCTTGGTGCTGTAGTGTTGATCAGTAAGTCTTCCAGAAGCGTATGTATTGAAATAGGTCTATGCTTACTTTGCGACCCCATTTTCAATGACCAGGGGCCCAACTCGTAAGGCCATGTGAACATTGCCAAAAGGGTATTGTTGGGCAAATTGGCGAAAGAATAATGGTATATCTTCGTCTGCCATGGCTTCCTTCACTGAAGCAGTGTTTGTATCCTGGTCACGAGCGAAAGGGACTTCCTTTTCTGGTTCTGGTCGCAAGGGCGGCTGCTTCGAATCGGATTCTCCTCTCAAAGTTACTTTCCTGGCTGGCTCATATATCCCCTGTGCAGCTGTACCATTTGATTTGACTCGGAATCTGGTCATTTTCTTGTATTTCTTCCTGTGATCACGGACTGTAGACTGTAGACCGTGATATTTCGCGAGGGCGACTCGATTATTGAGCTCGAGTAATTTGCATCTCTTCGCGAGTGGAATTGCAACATGCCGTTCTCCCTTAGAAATTGGAAAGAGGGCACCTGGAAGTCCGGTGCTGTCAAGGCGAGAGACGTCTGCACAATGACATATGTTCCGACTTAGGGCAGGAGTAATGGCCTCGGCGAGAACGCAGTGCTTGTATGCTTTGACATATTGTTCTCTGCCAAGATAGAGTTTCCGATAACAGTCCTCACAGACGGTGAGTTGTTTTGCATGGTTCGATTTGCCGCTATGGGTAAACATGCTACCTCGAATGATACTGGAGCAGTCCGAGCATTTCAGAGGCTCAAGTCGGGCATTCCAGTCACTATCAAAACCAGACAGAGTAACTAGAGATTTTGTTAGGTATATGTACTGATTGATACATCATGTGGTATTCGGTCCATACGTTGCGGAATGGCAGGTCGAGCCCAGAAGCCAAGGTCTTCTAAAGGTGGACGGTGCTCAATCAGTTTGTCGACATCGAGGAGCCCTGCGTAGGCTTAAGGTCAATTGAGATACTCTCAGACTGGTACCCTTTAGACTCACCTGCAGCTTGGAGGAGGATACGTGCCCGCTCCTGGATATCGGAAGATGATACAATGTCTTGAAAGGCCTCATTAGCTTTGGGCAAGAGAAGCAGACAATGACAAACAACCTTCCGTGTTCCTTCGCACTTCATCCTTAACATCAACGTTAGTGCTCTGATATTCTACCTGCGCGAGTTTTGTTTTGCGTAGAGCCTCCTTGATTTCAGTGCCGTTCATAACAGAGGACAAGATCTTGTCCTGGTCGGCTGTCATCGCAGTTTTCTCTTCCCCTACATCGGCAGAACAAGTTAGCCCGAGTTTGATCGTAGTAGACAGACAGCGCACTACCATATCGTATCGCAAACGCCCGTGTCTCCTGAGTAACCTGATCGATAAATGTGTCAAAGCCGTGTAAATTGTTGTCATGCTCATCATCGACTACCACATCTGTATACTCTGATTGCTGCCAGATTTTCAAAGTGCGTATGGTATTTTCGAGCTCGAGCCTAACGCCATACCAGTACAGAGTCTCAAGCTCAGACTGCAAATGCGCGCTAGCAGGTCCTACTAATTTCCACGGGGCTCGGGGAGCATGAGTGATGTTCGGCAGCGAAGATCGCTCGAAATGGTGCCTGAGGCGAATACCACTCGGGCAAGACATGGTGGCTGTTGTATGAATGGGGGTTTTTTTGGATGCCAGCGGGTGCCAAATTGAGGATTGTAAAATCAAAACTCGGCTCCTCCACAATCTCAAGACATCATATCAAGATTGAGGGTCTGAGGCCGCCCCCCCCCATACAACCTGCGGAGTAAGTTTGTTGCTGGGGTGCAAGGCTGGAAAATACGAGGATCGCCAAGGCCAGGCACCGGCCTCGTGCTTAGAGCCCGGGGTATCCGAGGCTGTGCAAAAGTGAGGCTGGATGCCTAGAGTCGCCGAACGAGCTGATTAATGTATACTTTGAGAATGCGACCCCATCTGCCAAATCAGCTAATCTCCCGAGTTGACCCTCGAAACGGCGGTTAATTGTACTGCTCGATCCGGTAAGTGGAAAACAGCCTTGTTCTTGTCGAGACTCTAGTGTGTAGCCGTCTTCGCCGACGATGGCAGAGGTTTTCCTGGCGTCACTTATCCTGTTCTTTCGAAGGGCGCTTTCGATTCTTTCGTGCTGCCTGGAGGCCATATCGATTTATGCGTGCTTTATTTAAACGAGGTTCTGTAAGCAATGACATGCTCTTATTATCATGCTTCCTCAATCATTCCGTTTGCCTGACCAGCCACAAGCTGTCCTACCGTCTGCGCATAGTACTTTCGCTTATGAACGGAAAGACGACAGAATAGCAGTCTGTCAAACTCTTTCAGTGACACCGAGACAGCGCATAATCGGGGCAAGTGTTCCTGCGAACTCCCTAATCGCATGAACAGGATAATACGGGGCCCAACATGGCTGTAAAGAGAGCGCGGTAATGGCCAGCAACCTTCAGCGTTGTCGGAGAATGAACCAGAAGCTTGCTCGCATCCAGCAGCCGCATCTGCGACCACCAGGGATGGATCATTGCGCGACCGTAGTAAGTTCACAAGAGATAAGACATAGTTTTTATCTGCTCTAGTGACAAGGTCGAACTCGTTGATGAGGTTCAAGCATAGATTTTTAGGCAATCTTCGGTGCCTGATGCCATCCATCAACGGTAATGTGACTACTGGTGGGGCACCAAACGTGACGCAAGAGAAGCGTCTTGCGTTCTTGGAAATTGCCTCTGAGATATAGTGGAGAAACAATAGTGAGGCTACAGCACCTCCTGCGGAGTGACCGGTAAAGAGAATGTGACTGCCGGTGTCAGCATGGAGACGACTGTAGGCTTTTATTCTTTCAGAAACGATGGCTTCCAGTGCCATTGCACTATGCAGAAATCCGGAATGGGCTTCTAGCTTGCTCTGGGGCGAGTGACCATCGAGCTCGAAACAGGCAAGATTCTGATAGAGACAGCTGTCAGAATGATGACCGCCTTGAGTGAAGACAGAACCATTGACTTACAATGAAGTGACTCGCATCGTGGGGCTTGCTGTTGATGTTGACTATATGGTCCACAGTACTGGCAGTTCCTCTGATCGCGATGACCAACACAGGCAGAAGCTCATTACCGTTTGATATCTCCTGCAAATCAACCGTTGTGAAAGTAGCAGCCTTGACTGTTCCATTGATAGAAGGCGTAACTTCATGGTCATGTGTCAATACACAATCCTTGATCGTACGTGGGAGGCGGGGGGAAGTAGAGTTGTAGGACTCATTCGCGCAGTCCCATGCGAGTGATAGGAGCAGAGATTGATCTTGCGAACTTAAGTGCATTAGCTGAAGCCCTTCCCCAACGACTGAGGGGATCCGGCTTTACCATGTCCACTTCTCGTCACATTGCTCAGGGCTCAGCTGCGCGTTGTCATATCTGGATGCTTCATCATCCAAGCGCGTGGCCAGAGCCCGAGCCTGGGCACTGAGATTATCTTCCAGCAATAGATATTAGCGATCAGCAAGCTGTCTCAGGTTGAAGTCAAGTAGCCACCTTCAAGGTCAATGTCCTTGAGAGAGGCACCAAGGACATCTGATAGCTCTGCTGCTGCCGCAGATGCGCCCTGTAAATTGTCGATGGAGGCAGTTCCTGACGTTGGGGGAGCTGCCGAGGCGCGTAGAGTGGATGCGGTTGAGGTTGGATGGTTCTTGACCAGTTTGAGCAATCGCTTCATGTTGGTGGTATGCTTGCCAGCTGTGAGGAGTCATTAAGGACAGAGTAGCAGTTGAATCAATCAACCAAGCTAATGATCATGCAAGAAGCGTAAGTAGAGGTAAGTAAGTTATTGTGCAGTAGATAGTATGAGTCGGTAGGTACTGTACCTAGTTAGTACTACTTAGGTAGTAAAGCAGGGGACTTTCCCAATTAGGCAATGCCGAGGGACGGAGATCGGCTCCATCTGCCATCCGTAGTTTGTGGTTTTCTCCACTGCTGATTCTACCCGTGCCGTCTGCCGTCTCATCTACCGTTCTCAATCACAGAAAACAACCTTGAACAAGAATCTTAATAAATTCAGAAGCAGTCAGAAGCAGTCAGAAGCAGTCATTGATCCCATTTAAACAAACACAAGAAGAGAATAACAAGCAGAAAGAAGAAGAAGAAAAATGTCATCCATTGACCCCCACAACATCAACCTGATTTCCACCTTCCTCGCCCATGAACAACTCCCCGCAGCACGGCCGCCCCCCCATGCAGTCGACTGCATTGTGATCTGCGTGTCCGCCATCCTCCACCAGGCTGAAGCGGTCTTCACATTCCTCGCTCACAACCCGCACGCCACCAAGACCCTCGTCTTCTGCGGCGGGATTGGCCACTCCACCCCTTACCTTTATGAGGCGGTCTCCAAGCACCCCAAATATGCGCATCTTGCCCCAGAGATTCAAGGCAAGGCAGAAGCCCAAGTGCTCCACACCATCTTCACGCGAGGTTTCGAGGCCGTGGCCTCGGACTTCCGGAAGGCCGGAGGCAACCTGCTGGTCGAGGACCAGTCCACGAATTGCGGGCAGAACGCGATACAGACCAGGCGCCTGCTGGAGAGGAATGCCATCCCGGCACCCAATTCCGTAATTATCGTCCAGGATCCCACCATGGCCCGAAGGACGATTGCCTCATTCGTCAAGGCCTTTGCGCCGTTGACCCCGGATTTCATAAGCTGGCCAATCATAGTGCCGCGGGTCCGGTTGCAGGAGGATAATGAGCTGGTGTACGATGTAGATGGGATCCCTGCAGATTCGCTATGGAGCATACCACGCTTTCTGGGACTGCTGATGGGTGAAATACCGCGCCTGAGAGATGATGACAATGGCTATGGGCCACGGGGTAAAGGGTTCATTGATCATGTCGATATTCCAGAGGGCGTTGAGCGAGCATTTCATGGCTTAGAGCGCGGGATACTAGGATCGGAACTAGCCAAGAGATGACTCTGATTGGTCAAAGCTTGCTATTTAGATTACCTATCTTCAAGACTATTTTGACTCTTCATAATATGGTGGTTTCGGGGGATAGTGCAGCTGTCGTAGGCAGACTGCCCCTGAAGAGAACAATGACGACATTTTGCATTACTCGGTTATCAAATTGCGGAACACAGGCGTCGAATATCAAGCGATTTTGGCGTCGCGAATGTGATGCTGGGCCGTCTTGGTAGGGCCTGAGCGCTGGGTGCAACACGAAGAACCCATCTGGCACGCAACTTACTGGATACTCGGCCGTCATTCACCCGACAGCTGCACCTGAAGAATGTCTTCTTTCTTGCTCGCATCAAACTGACCCGGATTTTCAGGGCAGAAGCTTTATGGTGATTGCTTGTTGCACGCATCACCCCGCCGCACGTACCCCACAAAGTCCGTCAGGCGATGCATCTAGCTGGGGGAATGAGTTCTTGCTTGACATTTGCCGAGATGAACCCTCCTGGCCGCCCCTGGAACTGAATCCTTCGCAGAAATCACTATCAATTTGGGATGTGATCAGCGCTTCAAGCCTCGAGACGGATGCTCAAGTAGCGCTGACACTGGCTTGCGTGGCGGTATAATCAATCAGAATTCTCCATGAATAAGGAGGAGCTTGGGGTTTGAAGCCTCTGTGAGGAAGCTTGACTCCGGTCACTCCACTGGGTTTCTTAGCAAAAACAGTAGAGATCATCATCTAAAGGGGTTCTGACACTTTATGTCACGGAGTAGGAAGCCACAATCAACGTCCGACAGGACGGAGAATCTTCAGCCTGCTTGGTCCCCAGCGGCTCGAGGGGGTCGAGGATAAGTGTACGTTGTAGATTCTCCGGTGGACATGAGTCCCTGACCACAATCACCATGAACGCTCCTTACTGCGATATAAAAGCTGCGTTTGCTGCGTAAGTTCTTGAGAAAAATTCCAAGAATCAAGCACGTCGAGGTTGCTCCCATTGAACCAAGCCAGCCATGCGTGGTCTTTTCCTTCTTGCTCTGGGTGCTATCCCGGCGCTCGTCAGCGGTCAACTCTCTGGCAGTGTTGGCCCGTTGACCTCCGCTTCCACCAAAGGTGCGACAAAAACATGCAACATCCTCAGCTACGGCGCAGTGGCCGACAACTCGACCGACGTTGGGCCTGCCATCACATCGGCCTGGGCTGCATGCAAAAGCGGAGGTCTTGTCTACATCCCATCTGGCAACTATGCCCTAAACACCTGGGTCACCCTGACTGGGGGCAGCGCGACCGCAATCCAGCTGGATGGTATCATCTACCGCACAGGTACCGCGAGTGGGAACATGATTGCGGTCACTGACACCACCGATTTCGAGCTGTTCAGTAGCACCTCCAAAGGCGCTGTGCAGGGATTCGGCTATGTGTACCATGCGGAGGGTACCTACGGAGCACGAATTCTGCGCTTGACCGACGTGACTCATTTCTCTGTGCACGATATTATCTTGGTGGACGCGCCTGCTTTTCACTTTACCATGGATACCTGCTCCGATGGCGAGGTGTACAACATGGCGATTCGTGGTGGCAATGAGGGCGGCTTGGACGGGATTGATGTCTGGGGAAGCAACATCTGGGTTCACGATGTAAGTCAGGCCCGAGTGGCAAGTGCTATTTCTCGGTCGCTCACGAGATGTGCATTCGTTTAGGTTGAAGTGACCAACAAGGATGAATGTGTAACAGTCAAGGTAAGGCTTTTCTTTCGCAAGCATGAATTGACGCGCTCGAGCCTTGACTGACAGACGCACCGCAGAGCCCTGCCAACAATATCCTGGTGGAGAGTATCTATTGCAACTGGAGTGGTGGTTGCGCAATGGGATCGCTCGGGGCCGACACCGACGTCACCGACATTGTCTACCGCAATGTTTACACCTGGTCGTCGAACCAGATGTACATGATCAAGAGCAATGGTGGCAGTGGAACGGTGTCGAATGTTCTGCTGGAAAACTTCATCGGTTAGTGCTGCCTGCCTATGCCCCGCCTTCCCAGCTTGAAAGTGTCGACTGATGCCTTCTGTTTAGGGCACGGTAATGCATACTCGCTCGACATCGATGGCTACTGGAGCAGCATGACCGCGGTGGCCGGAGACGGGGTGCAGCTGAACAACATCACTGTGAAGAACTGGAAGGGCACCGAGGCGAACGGAGCGACCCGACCACCGATCCGAGTTGTGTGTAGTGACACGGCGCCTTGCACGGACCTGACGTTGGAAGATATTGCCATTTGGACCGAAAGCGGGTCGAGTGAATTGTACCTGTGCCGTTCCGCTTACGGATCGGGATACTGTCTGAAGGACAGCTCTTCGCACACATCCTACACCACGACCAGCACTGTCACGGCGGCTCCATCAGGGTATTCGGCGACAACCATGGCAGCCGACTTGGCGACCGCATTTGGCCTCACTGCTTCCATTCCTATTCCGACCATCCCGACCTCGTTTTATCCCGGGTTGACCCCGTACAGTGCCTTGGCAGGCTAATAGGCGTGGAAGGCAAGGTGGGATTGATGTGTCACCGTCGCAGTGGAAAGAATGTCGGTAGGAGGAGAGATTATTGTAAATCATTGAGATCATTGAGATCATTGAGATCATTGAGTCGTTGAGATCATGGATCAGCCTGGTAATTGTTACCTCACGGATTCCGTAGGTAACCGTTTGTAAGTCAGTATGTATGTTGTATGAATCACAAGGGAGATCCTCTTTCGTATCTCGAGATTTTCTTTCATGCAGGACTGGGCAGGAGGAAGTTTGAGGGACTCATGTGAGCTGCAGTCGTCGGTTTATCAGCCATTCATTGTCCGATCGCGTCATCCCTTCCTTGTCGATTCTCGCTTACTTAACTTTTTTTCTCTCTTTCCCTCGCATCATCTTTCTCTCTCTCTCTCTCTCTCTCTCTCTCTCTCTCTTTCCCTCTCGCTCTTCTCGCAAGTTCTGATTGACAATTGGACTGTGGATATTGCACATACACCTGTCTGGAAGAAATTGAGGAAATGGTGAAGTGAAGAACTGGTGAAGAGGTAAAAGTGGAGGCTGCGACGATAATAAGCTTAACGGGGAATCCCCGCATCCTCTCCGCCGACCGACCGACCGACCACCGACCGAAGTATATCTCAAGACTCAAGACTCAAGACTCAATTAATTTCCATCTCCCCCCCCC